GATTGTACCTAAGACATTTTTCTATTAATAAAGTCAACATTTACCTTATAACAATTTATGGTATTTCGAATCACCTTAAAAGTTTTCATACTGACTTACAAAAATAATAATTATGTTGATAAAACATGTTTGAAAATAGATTTAACAATTATCTAGTACATTGTGCGTAACTGATAATTATTTCTGTTGCTCTGAGTATGAGTATTTGGTAAAAATCTTAGTAGTCCTGCAGGGCAAGTTTAAAGGCATGTTTGGTAGCCCGACCTCAATATTCAGTTGTCCCGGGCCAGCGGGCTACCGTTAGTGTCGAACCCTGCAAGTCTGATATTTTTTTTTTAAATATCATGAAAATATGAGATTATTTTTATTTTATTCAGCTTTGTGCCTCATCTAATTCTGTCACCGAAACAGAAACAAAGTAAATTCCTATTTGGTCATATACCATGCTTTCTACAAACCATTTGAGTATTCAAACTAGAAAAACAAAATCACTCACCTTGACTGTTTCGGCCCAGCGGACCTGTTCGTCACCCAGGGCGGTTGTCAGTTTAGCGGCACGTTTGAGTCGTGCGGCGGTCGTGGCGATATTCCTCTCCAGCTTCTGTTTCTCTCTGACGCTGTTGTCGTACGTGGCCTGGAGTTCGGCGATCTTGGCCTCGACTTCAGCCAGTTGGTCCTGTTTCTCCTTCAACATCTTCATCACCCCATCTAACTCCTTCTGGGCCTCTGCCAACCTGTCAATCAAAAGGGGGCGGGGTTAAGGTTTAGCTTAATAAATCCATGTATAATCATACACAATTTTAATGAATAAATTTGATCAGATATGATTCATCTTTTTCATCAGAGTCAGTTAAGATTGAAGTGCTGACAATTTTTTTTTATTGAATAAATCTTTATTTATATGTGTTTATTAAACCTTTTCTCAATAAAATTTCTTTAATTTACAAGAAACAATTGAAAATGATTTTCAGATGTATGCTACATATATCTCTATATGTAAGTAATGAAAAATATCTACAAACACAAGGTCCTTTTGTCTGACTCTAGTAATATGTATTATAGTTAAATCATTATTAGGAAATAATTATAAACTGATATTTGGTAAATCAGAGGTTAACATACTTAAGGAGAGTGAGGTCATGATTAGTAAGAACTAAAATATACAACATGAGACCAATATGAAAGAAGTTAAAGCGACCCATACGGAAAAAAAGGGCAAACAAACTACGTACTATAACAAATTACTAACAAACCACTATGGTTTGAAAGTAGTTTAATAGTATAGCAATTCACATGCAAATGAGCTAACAATCTATACTCTAACAAACTACTATCAAACCATTCTTAACAAACTACTATCAAACCACTCTAACAAACTACTATCAAACCACTCTAACAAACTACAGTTAATTCTCGACAAACCGCCACCTTTTGTAATTTAGAAATCATGGCGGTATAACGAATTTGGCGATGAATTGAATTTCCCATCTTTTAGAAAACAAGAAGTAGAGTTACCGTTCTTAGAAATACCATTTAGCGTTTCTATTTTTAATATTACATACACATGTATATAAAAACATATTTCTGATTGAAAGTACTTCAAGTAATTTTTTTTAATGTACAATTTCGCTAAAACAAAATGTGCAGTTATGAAATAAATACAAATACATGTGTATGCATGTAAATCTGCACGTCTGATATTGAAAAAAAAAACATGCTGGGTGGATCGTCGTGATATATTGCCGATAGTATGTAAAATTCATTCTTGAATAAATTCATTGTTTATGGCATCATTGTTAATGAAACGTTCACATTTTATACCGTATTTTTTCAGCAAACTTTGCATTGTTGAATGTAGAGATCATCAAAATAATATATCTTTATCGGCGTACTTTAACAACGACCGCTTTCGTGGCAAAGCTTTGACTAAATGAATTTTATTAAACAGAAAACAAAATTATAATTATAACAGTTCATGTTAAAATTATTGTGTATTTAGTCCTTGTTTAATAACTTAATTGCATTTACCTTGCCTGCCTTTGCATGCTTTACAACAGGGATAGCGTCAACCAATTAGCCGCGCTTCACTGACCACATGCACCTGTGGCGGTATATCGAGATAATTGACACTTAAAAATGGACGTTTGTTGTGAAAACAGGGTGGCGGATGGCGGTATGCGAATTTGGCGTTATAAAGAGAATTTTATATAGCAGGAAAAACGTTCTTGGGAAATCATGGCGGTATTGCGAAAATGGCGATGAATCAAATGGCGATAATTCGAGAACTGACTGTACTATCAAACCATTCTAACAAACTACTATCAAACCACTCTAACAAACTACTAACAAATCACTAGTAACAAATCCATCAGCAAAACACTATATAGATTTGAATTTTCCTTTACAAGTCCACAAGTCTTTGAAAACACCTAAAACAGTCACATTTTGAAATATTCAAGAAGTCTTGTTTCAGAGTATTTTACATTCCAGGATTGACAAGTTGAGCCAATTTTGCAAGTGCAACATTCCAACATATATGCATATGTTCCCGTTTGTTTAGGAGATGCAATTCCCAGTCAGTGTCCATGTACTTATCACATATTCTCCTTCATGTTGTGTACATCTTCATAGTACTTTCACCAAAAAATGTTCTTCAAGCTGACATTTAAATATTCCCTGCTTCATCTGGCATGGAAAATGCTGCAGTATTTCCTTTTTTCTGGCCTAGTTTATTGCAACTTTGAAAGACATCTTTTTTTGTCTTATTTTCAAGTATACTTCCCATAATCCAATGCATAAATGATCTAAACTATAGCTAGTATAGGAATTATGGGTCAATCTGAAAATAAATAAAAACCCAAAGCTCATGAGTAAAAAGCATATACACACAATTGCATCCACATTCACAGAAGGTTAATTACTGTAGTCGTAAGTCCAGCCTTAATTATTTTAGGTAAAAAGGAACTTCATGACATGCGCATTAAATACCTCTTCTGTATCCAGATCCATCTTTTAATAATGTTAATTTCTGCTTTTTCCATTCAGGGATCTTACAGAATGATACTAACAATTTGAATGTCCCTTCACCAGTTCCTTTGTTTCTGACCTGCTTGGTGGTTTGAAAATTGGTGCAAATAGCTAACACCGGATGTAAAGGTTAAACTGTTCTTAGAAACTTCAGCAATTCTAGATAATTCAACCCTAAACATGTCTGTTAAGTAATTTCCCATGTGGTTAGATGCAAATGCTATACTAATAAAACACTTTTGCAAGATATCAAGTCTAACAAACTATAAAGAAATCACAATCAGCATGCAGAAATGAAAGACTAACAAACCACTTTACTTATTTTTAGAAACTGTAGCTTTGTTAGCTTAAAAAATGTGTCACAGGAAAAGATATAGTACAAAATTCAAACGATTGTTTAGGAAAAGGAAAATTTATTATTATGGAAATGGAAAGTGAATTCGACATGATAATTTATATTGTCCTGAATAGGAAAATAAATTGTGAAGTGCAGAGAAAAGCTAGCTTATGTACAGGAAATGAGTATAATTAAAAGACAGATAATTTTAAAGTAGAGGAAGAATTATAGTATTCACCTCTATCTAGAATATGACTAGCTAAAGAAACTGTTCCCGATTCTAAGTTTCAGTCTCTACACTAACTCTATAGATACATCTCTACTCTATCTATAGATCTCTATATGTGCGTTCTCTAGTCTTACTTCTCTTTTTTGGGTTGGACAAGTCGATAAACTTGTGCATACGTATCCATAGCCAGGACCCACATACACATTGATTTACAGGCCTGTAAATAATTTACAGCAATATGTGAATATATAAATATGTAAAACGCAAGAACCCTGAACCTTGATTGCAAAAGCTGTGTATTAAAGCGGCATCTGCATATCGCTCCCTTCGAAACCCTGAAATAGCTTGATATAGTATTTATGTCAGTTAAACTCTAATTGCTAAATCAACTTCCTTCAGACCAGCTGTTTGAATTTAGCAATTAGTTTTCACTCCTATCAGTTAGATTACAAACGGTTAAAATCTTATCATCAAAACAAACAAAAACAAAGTTTTCACTTAAGAAAAATGAGCAATTTGGTACAAAGTAATACTGTATCAAAATTTTCTCAAATATTTTTAAAAAACATTTTTTGAGAATTTGGTGCAATTGAATCAGAGAAAAGTACATATACCTAATCAAATATGGAGTTAATGCAGTTTAATTGGGTGAAAAAATCCATTGAAACAATACTAAAACAGGAGCAGAATATACATAGGCCTCTGAAAGCATCAGAGATGGGATCATGTGCCATGGAGGAGTCAGCATCCCCTTAAGATACTTAATACTCAGAGTTGCTCATTTTGCAGTGAAAACAAAAATTAACAAACAAGTTAGTAACAAACTCAGTTTTCATGGGACAAACATAATAGATAGCATTGCAATTAAATAATTCCCCCAATCTCTTAAAACTTATGTTTTACCTTGCATATGAAGCATTATGACCTAAGGCCTTTCTTTTGCAAAATTCAGTGTCACAAAATTTTTTGCTAGACTTTTGGATTCACACACAAACATGTTTCAAACAACGTATTTGATTTATTTGTTTTTAAGGGAGAAAGTGGGGGGTGCAAATTTTCATTAAATATCCCATGAAAACTTTAGAGACTTGCAGTGTACAGCATGCAAAACTCATGTGAAACACATCAACATAACATATGTACATCACAAACAGTTTATATATAACACGGTAAATATGGTAGTGTTTGGGGCATTGCAGCAGACTTCACAACTCGTAACGCAGCGGATCACAATATTGTACCAGACTTACTTAGCACGTTTAGGTTCCACTGTCCGGAATACATGGGAGTATGAGTCCATGGCAAGGACCCACATACACATGGACTTACAGGCCTAGAGGGGAAGGGTGGAGAGAGAAAAAAAGGTTAATATTGGATAGATAAAATAGAACTCTTTGTTCAAATGAAATTACAAATTTTATCAGAAACCATTATTATAATACATGTATAGTTGAGACACATTAATCCAGATACTTGTGTTTCTTAGAAAATTATTCAGTTTAATCACCAGCATCCACGATACTGAAATATGCTTGGTTATTTCAAAGAAATTTTGGTTGGAAGGTGAAATATTTGGATTAATGTTGCTCCACAATATACTGATAATAAATCTAATAGCTAGATAAAGTACATGATTAGGTCTATATTATTGACAATTCATCAAAAATCAAATTACTGAGCATATCGGCTAGGAAAAAGCACAAATCAGATCAGAACTGAAAGGTTCACTGTAGGGTGGGGGGGGGGGGGGGGGGCTTGAAGAGATTGCCTTCATATTACTACAGCATATGACTTTGCTGTTCTTGATAAAAAGATTTTTTAAAAACATTTTCTTCCTATATATAACTTCATAATAATTTGAATTTGATTCCCCATTGTTTCCCTCCGTACCCTAAAGGGCCATGATTTGAATAAATTTAAAGCTTCAATACATGAGGATGCTTAAATGTCAATATATTTAATTCTTCACTACCCGAAAATGCTTCCATATAAATACTAGTATTACTAATAATGGCTTTGCTATTCTTGAGAAGATTTTTTTTAATATATATTTTAATGTAAAACTTGGATCCCCCATTGTGGCCCACCCTATCCCCGGGGGTTATGATTTGAACAAACTAGAATCTACACTACCTGAGGATGATTCCACATAAATATCACTAATCATGGCTTTAAAGTACTTGAGAAGACGATTTTAAATATTTCCTTATCTAGTCCTGTGTAGAACTTTGATCAGCCATTTTGCCCCCCCCCCCTAATCCCCAGGGGTCATGATTTGAACAAACTTGAATCTACACTACCTGAGGATGATTTCACATAAGTTTCATCTTTCCTGGCCCAGTGGTTCTTGAGAAGAAGATTTTTAAAGATTTTTCCTATATATTCCTAGGTAAAACTTTGATCGGCCATTGTGGCTCCACCCTACCCCAGGGGTCATGATTTGAACAAACTTGAATGTACACTACCTGAGGATGATTTCACATGAGTTTCATCTTTCCTGGCCCTGTGGTTCTTGAGATAAAGATTTTTAAAGATTTTTTCTATGAATTCCTATGTAAAACTTTTAAAGGCCATTATAATGGCCCCATCCTACCCCTGGGGGTCATGATTTGAACAAACTTGAATGTACTATCTTAGGATGATTCCACATGAGTTTCATCTTTTTTGGCACCATGGTTCTTGAGAAGAAGATTTTTAAAGATTTTCCCTATATACTCCTATGTAAAACTTTGATCGGCCATTGTGGCCCCACCCTACCCCTCGGGGTCAAAATTTGAACAAACTTGAATCTACACTACATGAGGATGATTTCACATGAGTTTCATCTTTCATGGCCCTGTGGTTCTTGAGAAGAAGATTTTTAAAGATTTTCCCTATATACTCCTATGCAAAACTTTGATCGGCCATTGTGGCCCCACCCTACCCCTGGGGGTCATGATTTGAACAAACTTGAATCTACACTACCTGAGGATGATTCCAGATGAGTTTCATCTTTCCCGGCCCAGTGGTTCTTGAGAAGAACATTTTTGAAAAATGCCATTAATTTTTCACTAATTCATAATTATCTCCCCTTTGAAAAGGGCTTGGCCCTTCATTTGAACAAACTTGAATCCCCTTCACCTAATGATACTTTGTGGCAAGTTTGGTTGAAATTGGCCCAGTGGTTCTTGAGAAGAAGATGAAAATGTGAAAAGTTTACGCCGACGATAATGCCGACGACGCCGACGACAGACGACGGACAAATTTTGATCAGAAAAGCTCACTTGAGCCTTCGGCTCAGGTGAGCTAAAAAGGAAGTTGTAAGACTGTGAAGGGGGGGGGCATTGATGATATGTACATGCATTTCAAATGTATAAAATTTGTATTTAAAATATGTTTTGTGAACTATCTTACATGTAATAATTAAAAATGTTAATATATTCTTTATTATTTAGCTCATTAAAATTATTTGAATTAAAAATCTTGTTTTTCTTACCTGTGTGATGAACACAACTAAGGTTTCAGAGGTAATTGCTAGAAATACAGGTATACGGGTGTCAAAACTGTCGGTTGGTGACAAGACTGCATGCCGCATTGTTTATCCGCCATTATTGATCTTTTCAAAGGGAGACAACTCTTGAAATCAGAGAAATTTTAGTGAAAATGAGAGTTACCTGTTTCTCTTTAGGTCTCACACAAGGAAATAATTTCACTATATATTATTATAAAGCTTGAATTAAATTATTTAATTTATTAGACTCTCAGCAGAAAATTCATGAAAGAGAAAATAAAGATTAATGCTTAAACAACCAGAAGTCTCTGTCGAGACTGAAGCTCTACTGGTTTGTACTTATAGCAAAGGAAGAGAAAAGTACTTAAGCAGTTGGAAATTGAAACTTTTCAACAGCAATAAATAGAATAATGATCCTTGATTAAGTCTCTATATGTTCTTAGTGCAGTCTACTTGCATGCCACATTTATATTATAATCAGACTAAAATTGTATTTGGAGTAGCATTTTGAAAGAATTTCACAGAAATTTCTATTTTTAGTAACCACGGCAACACCGTTCATCAAAATCAAAAACCGATATAAAGAATTTTGTATCTTAGTGTAGTCTACTTGTGTGCCAAGTTATATTGAAATCAGACTAAAACTGTAGGAGGAGTAGCATTTTGAAAGAATTTCACAGAAATTTCTATTTTTAGTAACCACGGCAACACCGTTCATCGACATCAAAAACCGATATACAGAATTGTGTATCTTAGTGTAGTCTACTTGTGTGCCAAGTTATATTGAAATCAGACTAAAACTGTAGGAGGAGTAGCATTTTGAAAGAATTTCACAGAAATTTCTATTTTTAGTAACCACGGCAACACCGTTCATGGAAATCATAAACCGATATACAGAATTATGTATCTTAGTGTAGTCTACTTGTGTGCCAAGTTATATTGAAATCAGACCAAAACTGTAGGAGGAGTAGCATTTTGAAAGAATTTCACAGAAATTTCTATTTTTAGTAACCACGGCAACACCGTTCATCGAAATCAAAAACCGATATACAAAATTATGTATCTTAGTGTAGTCTACTTGTGTGCCAAGTTATACTGAAAATAGGCCAAAACTGTAGGAGGAGTAGCATTTTGAAAAATTGTTTACAGACGGACGGACGCCGGACGGACGCCGGACACATTACTATCGCATAAGCTCTTCTGGTCTCTGACCAGTAGAGCTAAAAATTGTTTACAGACGGACAGACAGACAGACAGACAGACGGACGGACGCATTACTATCGCATAAGCTCTTCTGGTCTCTGACCAGTAGAGCTAAAAATTTGAGATCAGAAAAAATATGCCTTATGCGGCTTTTAAGAAAGAAAATCAACAGTAAACTTAATTACCTTACCCCGAAATGCACGTGGGCTTCACATGTTGACAAACAGCCTACACACCATCCAGGAAGTTGCATCATGCACACCTGAAAAAAGTCAGTTCCTTTTAATTCAGTGGGATAATTCTGCTAAAGAAATGATATTCCTAGTACATGAGTCCAATTTTAATACTGTAGGCATAAAACAAATTGCCAAAAATGAAAAAAGAAAAAAAAAAATTTCTCTATATATATGGAACTTCAATTGACTAAGTTCATTTTGATTGGCTATTTCCTTGCATAAGACCTTTAAGGAATGAAAAATTGGAGATAACTCTTCCTAACAGTTTATTGAATTTTAGGCTTAATTTCTGTACAAATTCATTTTTAGCATATTAATTTCAGAACTTTATAAACCAGAAGTCTCTGTCGAGACTGAAGCTCTACTGGTTTGTACTTAGAGCAAAAGAAGAGAAAAGTACTTAGGCAGTTGGGAATTGAAACTTTTCAACAGCAATTAATAGAAAAATGATCCTTGATTAAGTCTCTTTATGTTTTAGTGTAGTCTACTTGCATGCCACATTACATTATAATCAGACTAAAACTGTATTTGGAGTAGCATTTTGAGAGTATTAAACAGAAATTTCTATTTTTAGTAACCACAGCAACACCGTTCATTGAAGTGAAAAACTATACAAAGAATTATGTACCTTAGTGTAGTCTACTTGTGTGCCAAGTTATATTGAAATCAGACCAAAACTGTAGGAGGTGTAGCATTTGGAAATAATTTCACAGAAATTTCTATTTTTAGTAACCACAGCAACACCGTTCATCCAAATCAAAAACCGATATATAAAATTTTGTATCTTAGTGTAGTCTACTTGTGTGCCAAGTTATATTGAAATCAGACCAAAACTGTAGGAGGTGTAGCATTTGGAAATAATTTCACAGAAATTTCTATTTTTAGTAACCACAGCAACACCGTTAATCGAAATCAAAAACCGATATATAAAATTTTGTATCTTAGTGTAGTCTACTTGTGTGCCAAGTTATATTGAAATCAGACCAAAACTGTAGGAGGAGTAGCATTTTGAAAGAATTTCACAGAAATTTCTATTTTTAGTAACCACAGCAACACCGTTCATCAAAATCAAAAACCGATACACAGAATTATGTATCTTAGTGTAGTCTACTTGTGTGCCAAGTTATATTGAAATCAGACCAAAACTGTAGGAGGAGTAGCATTTTGAAAGAATTTCACAGAAATTTCTATTTTTAGTAACCACGGCATCACTGTTCATGGAAATCAAAAACCGATATACAGAATTATGTATCTTAGTGTAGTCTACTTGTGTGCCAAGTTATACTGAAATCAGACCAAAACTGTAGAAGTAGCATTTTGAAAGAATTTCACAGAAATTTCTATTTTTAGTAACCACGGCATCACTGTTCATTGAAATCAAAAACCGATACACAGAATTATGTATCTTAGTGTAGTCTACTTGTGTGCCAAGTTATATTAAAATCAGACCAAAACTGTAGGAGGAGTAGCATTTAGAA